AGATATCTTAAAGTCAATTAAATGTTTATTTGGATAGTCAACTACTCCCTTTGTTTCCAAATACTCTCTCCGTTTCATAATATAAGGCGTTTTGGATAATGTTTGTTGTTTCACAATATAAGTCGTTTTCGAGTTTCAATGCATATTATATACTCCCTCCGTTTCGTTTTACGTGTCGTTTTAGAGTTAAAATTTTGTTTCATAATAATTGTCGTTTTAGGTTTTTGATACAAATTTTTTGTAAATATTCCAGTTTTATCCCTACTGTTTTAATGTTTCGGCCAATGAATTTTTTTATAAAATATATTAATAAAGTGTAAAACAGAAAATTTAATGCTTTTCTTAATTTATGTGAGAAAACCTTAAACGACAACAAAAACGAAACGGAGGGAGTATTACTTTAATATTTTATGATTATTTATATTATGCAGTCTCTTTTATGATTGGTTAAAACTTTTAAAAAATAGATCTTCTTAATCGACGTGCTTTTACTTAAAACGACTTATATTATGAAACGGAGGGAGTAATAGATTTTTTTCGATTTTCTATGCAATATTTATTAGTTATTATTGATGAATTGTAAACTTCAAGAAAAATAATTGAATATCATTGGTTTAGGATTATAGAAAATTGTAAATCACTAAAAATTATACATTTATTATCAACTTTTAATTGGTTTTCTTAATACGTGAGAAAACTCTAAAAAATCAATGATTTAGAAATAGAGGGAGTATTATTTTAGATAATTAATATAGACTAAAATTTCGAATAGTGACAGCGGATTGGATGGTGGAGAATAAGCAGTTTAAGTGGTGCGATGAAAAATTTCAGAATTTTTGGAACAATAAAAAAATTAAAATTAAATAGTTTCACACAAATGAGAGTAACCTTTTTAGTAATCTTTAAACAAGTATGTAACATGTAAACTCATTCTTTAAATGATTATTCATTCAAACAAATAGTTTTCCATAACAATATAAAATTGAAAAATATAATAACAATAAAAAGGAAAAAAAATCATTCACATTTTAAGAAAAATAATGGTCCACAGTCCACACTTTTCACAAATATTTTGACCATTTTTTTAGTTTATTGCATTAATATAAAAGTATCTAATGGTAATTTGCCATTATTTTACTTTGACCATTTGTTTTTAATTTATTGTCATTATTATTATATAATATATTTTGGGGCAGAAGAAAGAGATCATGCATGTTTATTTCATGGTAAATCCCTTAATGATTTAGCTATAAACCTTTTCCTGAAACTGTTTTCATAAGTTTTCCAACGGATTTTCGTGGGCAAACTGTCTATTCGAGATTCGTTTTTAACGAATTCTGGCGCGAAACCGTCTACTCAATTATTCCTTGTTTTGTTGCAGTTTTCTTGAAATGGTATAATCAGTATTGTTTTTTGTATTTTAAATCCTTTGTGTTTACAGCATATTCAATTTTAGAAGCATCATTTTCTTAGAATCTAGATGAAAATTGTTTTAATAACCCCAATTTGTTTTCACAACTTTTCTAGTTTCTTGTATTTCAACAAATTTTGGCCATCAAATTATATATATATATATATATATATATATAATTTATTTAGATTAAATTTTTGCAACAACTTTTCGCACCCAAACCACCAATATATTATTACAGTGTTTTTAGATTTGGCATGTATTTCTTTTAAATGTTTTGATGGATTATTTCTCAAGCATGCATATAATTTAGAGGAGAAATATCTTTGGCTGTCAATCCTTTACCAATTTAGCTTATCAAACAAATGATGATAAGAATTTTCTATTTTACCAATTTCATTAAATTGACAAAAGCTTTTTTTTCTTGAGTAAAGTTGACTGAGAAATATTTGATGAAGGGATTAAATGCTCGATTTCCCATGGTGAAACCTTATCAGATCTTTAATTATTTTATGATAAGGTTTCACCATGGAATATCAAACATTTAAAGATTTCATAAATTATTAAATGCGTCAAAGATTGCATCAAACATGTTTGAATAGCCCAATGGTCCATCTTGGACCACGACCACGACGGCCTCAGTGTTGAAGGTAGCATAGTCGAGAGGGATGTTCGTTGGGTCAGACGCGTAAGGGTAAATATTGACAAGAATAGGCGTACTTGTTTGAGACAATAGTTTAAGCACGGGGACAAGTTGTTCTCGCGCTTGGGACGTGAACTTTCCAGCGGAAGGTGGGTATGATTGCTTAAGATTTGACATAGCCACCACGGTGCTTACCGCGATCGGAAGATTCCTCGACTTGACGAGGTTGGTGAGAGACTGCATGACCGGAAGCACTTGAGGACCGATTGGTCCGGGGATGACTTCATTACCAACAGTAATGAACGAAATGTTGACGTCGGCTAAGTAAGGCTCGATGTTGGTTGCAACCCAGTCCTTAGCAGCTTCTTCGCTAGCTGCAAGAGCAGCCAAGTCCTGGTCCCTCACGCCAACAGTGACTTCAATATTGTTGTGGCCGCGTAAGGCGTTAAGAACCTCTATGTTCGGGAGATTCGGATTTTTGTAATGCCATGGACTTGTAAAGGTTGAGAACATTGGACGGTGCTGGGAGGTTATCTCCGAGGAGGCCATAGTTCAAGCCAATGCTATTTGCTGCGGCTACGAAGCCACTAGTGTTGTAGTTGAAAATCAGCATAATGCATGAGAGGAAGAACAAGAGCAACTTCTTAGAGGAATAGACCATTATAAAACTATTGTCTGCAAAATGTAGAGATAGCAAAAGATCGTGCTTGCCTGCAGAAGAGGAAGGAACAAAATTTTGTTTCTTTATTTGTTTTGTTACGTTGCACATGTGTGTATAGGTAACAAACTAAACTTAAATTAAAGATCCATGAATTTGACTACCAATATACATAAATCATTAAACTGATTAATAAATCTTACCACAAGGTGAATGAATCTTCTTTTTGGTCCTATAGCAAATTGGAAACTCATAACAAAGAAGCAAAGTATCTACTCGTGGTCATGCTACATATATTACCAAGAAATCTCGAAAATGAACTCTTACGAAATCGTTATTTGAGATTTTGAATAGATAAGTTTCAAATATTCGTCGAATATGATTTTTGTATTTTAATGCTGAAATCGAGTTCATGTTTTTAAAAAGATATAGTTATATGTTTTTGTAAAAGTCATATATCTTATCATAGGCCAACATTTGTTTTCTTAGCACCTATGCGGTCTCGATTAAGGGAGATGTGTACGAGCCTAAACCTAGACATGTAACTTTGAAATTTTAAAAAAAAAGATTAACTGTTAATTAAGATACTTTATCTTGATTAATAAACCAAATAACCTAAATTATAGTATCAATTTACAGTCGATTATGAAGTACCGACAAACAAAAAACTGACAAACAGAGTAGCTTAGAAAGTAATATGTCGAATAACGCGTTCATCTAACAAATAATCTTGTTGGTTGATATCATAAAACCTAATTATACATTCAACAAAACCAATTAATTGTGCATTCAACGAAGATCCACTTGCAAGTTGCAACTATTGATAGGGTTATGTGGGTAATCCAGTGTAAGCATAGGAAAAAAATACTTCATGTCATTAAACTTAGCTTTAAAAGTCAAAATAAAAACATTAAGTCAACTTAATAGTTATCACATCTTAACTCGTGACATGTTACCAATCAAACCTATAATTTTTTAAAAAAATAAAACGTTCTATAGACGATAATAAAACGTGTAGTTCATTTTACACTTTTGTGCTGTGTAAAAAAATAAAATAAAATTTTCTTTTGTGTAATTCTAAATTGAACACTTTTATCTTCTCATGAGTAAGAAAGTTTTAACCCAAATTATAAAAAGCAAAGAAGAACATATAATTTTCGAGAAAATAACATGATTCAAGGTTTGTAGGATCTAGTGAAGCAATGCACTATGAAGCATATTCAAGATTTTTCCAAACAAGAACAAATATTTCAGTGTTGAATACGCTATCACCAATTAATAAAAAGTTAATTATCTCAAAAAGGAGGTTGATGACCGACAATTAGCTTTTTATTAATTGGATATCTTAAAGTCAGTTAAGTGTTTATTTGGATAGTGTAAAGATTAAAATAGAACGGCTTGTCTTTATTAGATAAATAAGACAATATATATATACAAGCGTGAGAACCTTAGGTTATGAGACACATAAGGAAAGCTAATAAGTATGATATATTTACAAATCCACCCCATAATACTTCCTCTCAAGTTGGCGTATGAAGGTCGCAAATGATCATCTTGATACGAAGAAACTCGAACGCTTGTGATCCAAAAGCTTTAGTGAATATGTCTGCGAGTTGGTGATCGGAGGGTATGTATGCAGTTTTGAGAAACCCATTTTGAATCTCGTCTCGTATGTAATGACAATCACGCTCAATGTATTTGGTCCTCTCGTAAAATACCGGATTAGCAGCGATGTGCAAAGCTGCCTTTTTATCACAATACAACGTGATAGGTTCTGCCGACGTGACGCCAAAGTCAGACAGAAGATTATAAATCCACCTGAGCTATGATGTGGTAAAAGACATAGCTCTATACTCCGCTTCCATGGACGATTTAGAGACAATCCCCTGTTTCTTGGTCTTCCAAACAATAGGTGAACCCCCTAGCAAGACTGCAAAACCCGTGAGAGAACGACGAGACATTGGACAAATAGACCAATCAGAATCACAATACCTTGAGATGGTTAAATCATTATCAGCTGTGAGTAAAATCCCTTGTTTCGGGCTGTTCTTGAGGTAACGAACGACCCGCAATGCTACCCACCAATGTTTGAGCCGAGGTTGATGCAAAAATTGAGCTAGAACATGTACAACGTACGTGAGCTCCGGTCTGCAAACATTCGAAGACTTCATGTTTTTCAAGTAATAAATATATCCATACTACTCTCGAATAATCATCTACGATAGTTAGATAATATATTGCCCCCGATGTAGATGGAGTATGATAAGCTTTCCTAATATCATAATGAATTAAATCAAAAACACCATTCGCTTTATTATAACTTTCAGAAAAGAATCCCAAGTTTGTTTAGCTCGATAACAAATTTCACAGCCTTCGCCTGTTTCAACAGATTTCCCAACAACAGCCTTGGAAGATCTTGCCACTTCAATTCCCAAAAAATATTTGAGAGACCCCAAATTTTTCATATGAATACATTGATTCAAATACTCCTTGAATCAAAATTTTCTTCTTCATCATTCCCGCCAATGAGCAAGTCGTTAACATAGACTACACGTAGAAACACATTTTTCCACGAATCAAAGCAAACAAAGAATAGTCCTCGTAAGACTAAGCAAACCCATACTCGAGAAGAGCATTTCTGAGCTTCGAGAATCAACACCTCGGTGCTTGTATCAAACCATATAAAGATGGAAGTTTGTTAGGACCCGAAACTTTGAACCCCGGTGGAAGTTTCATGTATACTTCTTCTACTAAATCTCCATGAAGGAAAGAGTTGTGAACATCCATCTGATTTACAATCCAATTTTTCATAGTCGCTACCTTGAGAAATATATGAACCGTCGTTAATTTCACTAGTAGAGCAAATGTTTTGTTATAATCTTTTCCCTCCTTTTGTCAATTATTCATGACCACCAAACGAGCTTTATGGCGCTCAATCGTACCACCCGAGTTATACTTTATCTTGAAAACAAACGACATCCAATGGCAGTTTTCCCTGGTGGCAAATCTTCAATATCCCATGTGTGTTGTTCTTCTAATGCATCAACCTAAAAGGACACTGCATCTCGCCACACTTGAAGTTTCATTGCTTCATTATACGATTCTAGTTCACTTTCTGCAGTAATGGCAGCAAGAAAGGCTGCATGTTTAACAGAAAAATGTTCATTTGTTACATAATTAGCAATTGGATATGTGACAATACCTGAGTTTGAAGACGTGACTGGTTCGGAAGAGGGCGACGGATCTAGTTCCCTTTTCTGCGGTGGATGCGATACCACACAGTTCTGTAACCATAATGACATAATCTTCTTTCTATGGCCACGTCCAAGCTGTTCTAGGACGGTTGTTTAATTTGGTCTTGGGTCGAAGATGGAGAAATCTCATCACTTTCTACTAGTGTGTCCCTTACTTCTATTATTTCATGAGATTGCTGCTCTCCTTGTTCCACAGAGCGAGACAGAGTGACTACAATATTATCGTCTAAACTCCCTCGCACGTCCATCATCTCTTGTAATTCCAGAAAATCATGATCATAAAATAAACCCAAATCACGAGAAGAATCAACTACGTCTCGCATTTCGACATGTGGTGTTGCAAACGGGAACATCTTCTAATGAAATTGAACATCTCTTGTGACAAAGAAATCACTTTTCTCCAAATCATACATCATCCAACCTTTTTTCCATACGGGTATCCATAATAATACATTTTCGACTTCGTTATCCAAATTTATCTTTATTCCGAGAAATCTTGCGAGCATATCCCAAGCATCAAAAAACTTTCATTCTATCAAACAAAGGCTGCTTCCCATACAACAATTCATATGGAGTATTACCTTGTAACAATGGTGTAGGTATTCGGTTTATAAGGTAGCATGCTGCTAGAACGTATTCTCCCCAAAATCTTACTGGCAACGACGCTTGAAACATCAAAGACCGAGCTACATTAAGAATGTGTCTATGCTTGCGGTCCACACATCCGTTCTGTTGCGAAGTGTACACATAGGAGGTCTGATACAGTACCCTCTTCTTCAAAATATCTTCTCATACATGTGAATTCAGTACCATTATTAGAACGGACCGATCATTCTTTCTTATCAAACTGACGTGTAACCATGGCACAAAATTTCTGCAAACATTCGAAGACTTCATGTTTTTCAAGTAATAAATATATCCATACTACTCTCGAATAATCATCTACGATAGTTAGATAATATATTGCTCCCGATGTAGATGGAGTACGATAAGCTTTCCAAATATCACAATGAATTAAATCAAAAACACCATTCGCTTTATTATAACTTTCAGAAAAGAATCCCAAGTTTGTTTAGCTCGATAACAAATTTCACAGCCTTCGCCTGTTTCAACAGATTTCCCAACATAAAAAATACTAGATAAATAAGATAAAACTCGACCCGAGGGTACCCCAAACGTTTGTGCCACAAATCACTCAGTTCAATCCTACCCGTCGCTTTATTTGCTTGACCTCCAAAAGTACCCATGAACTTGTAGACCCCATCGCACTCTTAACCACCAATCATCATATTCGAGGTATGATCCTGCAAGACACACACATCCTCAGTAAATGTAAGTCTCCTTTTAGTTGTTTTCAATAGTTTTGCCACAGAAATTAAAGAACACGTCAAATCTGGAGAATATAAGACATCATTTAGCCATATTTCTCCACCCAAACACATTCGTCCCTGTTTCTCCGCCAAGGCACAATCTCCATCAGGTAATCGAACAGAACATGGTTCTACAGACGTGACATCACTAAAAGAATCAATAATCAAAGTCATGTGATGCGACGCACCCGAATCTATTATCATTTTTGTCTTACCAGAAAGTTTTGCTTCGGATTTCGCTGTTTTCTGACTAGTCAGAAGCTCAATCAAAGCTGTCTTTTGATCATCACTCAATAGAGGCAGAGAGAGTCGATCATATCCTTCATCACGACGTGTTGTTGAAGCTGAATTCGCGACAGGTTGTGCCAACACGGAAAGCGCAGATCCGAGCGCATCCGGAAGAGTTTGAGCAACATTAGCGCGAGCAAGTGAACTTTTCCCCTTGCCATAACCACCAACAGCTCCTCCACCTATGCCAAAACGTCCTCTACCACCTCTGTTTCTATCCCTCACTTCTCCAAAATTTCTTCTTCTTTCACGCCACCAATCCGGGTAACCTTTAATCTGGAAACAATCAGAAATCTCATGACCATACTTCCCACAATAAGTATACGTGGTATCTTTCTCTCTATATTGAAACGTCCCTGGCTTGCTCCCTTGATGTTGTTGTTGACGCCTAACTTAGTGATGTTAACTTGGGCATGGAACCCCATTTAATAAATGAGTATGTATAAGAAAAATAAACTCATTTAAACCCATTTAAGGGAAAATATTAAATGGAGTTAAATGGGTTACCCCAATTAAACCTATTTATTAAATGGGATATCTCACAAATAAATAGGTACCCATTTAAACCTATTTATATTAGTTATTTTTATTAAAAAATGTTAATCCCTTAATAACTAAAATAAAAGAGCAATATATTAAATACATTAAAACTAAATTATTTTACTTAAATTCAAATTTTGACTTAAATTTTTTTTTTTAAATATGTAAAACTGCGTTTTTCTGTCATGCCTAAATCTTAAAACCGTATTTTCCCGTAAAAATCGAAAAAATAAGTTTTATCACCAAAAAATAGCGTTTTTCCGCCAAAACCGTAAATTAGTTGCCGCCGGAAACTTCACATGTCGTTCCTCATTTCACCACCATTAAATAGTTGGAATTTAAGCAACTCTAAATGGTGGTGAAATGAGGAACGACATGTGAAGTTTCCGGCAAGACCGTGGCAGTAAGGGAGGAGCATCATCTCTGAAGCTTAGTCGAGTTACAGATTCGCGGGCGACGGATAAACTTGAGTCAAACAGAGAGCAAAATCTGACTTTTGAAGCGGATATGATCTGGTTGTTCAGATGGAAGATGATGAAACGTCATGGAAGTTGGCTTCTCGGAGGAACAGGGAAGAGACGCAAGAGACGCGGCGGTGAACTCCGGTGAGAGATGGGAAATCAAAACGTGGTATAAGAATGAGATGGGAGCATAAATTCATCGATTTTATGTGTTTGATTTACGCCTTATTGGTTGATTTGATTTTAGAATGGGTGATGAAGCAGATTCTCTCTCTCAATTTGATATATCGAAGGAGGTACATATTTCAATTAGGGAATCTTGATTTCGATATGTAAATGGAGGATTTGATTTAAATTGTCAGGAACAAATTAGCTAGTTTCAGAAGTGATTAGATTCATACTTTTCAATCAAACTCTGAAGATAAGGGATTCAAAGAGAAAGAAGAAAAAAACCAGAAGAGGGACAAAGACGAAGAGAAGAAATCGGGTGTAGAAGAAAGTTAGGTTAAGTGGATTAACCCGGGTCGGGTTAAATTAGTAGTAATTGGATTGAAATTGGTTTAGTCTCAGTTTAATATTGTTTTTAATTGGTTAAGATTTGCTTGGTAAACAATAAACCGAACAAAACCAATATCTATGGGTAATTAGGTGAAAACTATGGATTCTTGGAGTTATAGGTTTTGAACTTTAGATTCATGGAGATATAGATTGAGAAATATATTTTTAGGGACATCTAGCACGAAGTCATAGATTGGTGTGGATCTGGTATGATGTGTTACTTCTCGTGGGGAAATCTATATATATATTTTTGGATCACAATTAGCAAATAAATCCTGAAGTTGAATTATTTACAATGACATGCCACTAGTATTAATTATTTAGATTTGTTTTATTTAAGTAAAGATTTTTAATTGAAATTCATTTCTCATATATTTAGCAAAAGTCTCTACAAAATCTTTCCTTATCTATTTAAGTAAAGATTCTGAAATCAAATATGTTCTCAACAATTTACCAAAAATCTCTACACAATCTTTTTAAAAATCTCGACTTAGTTAACTTCTGATTTTTATCTGCAAAAAAAAAATTAATTGTAACAGTTCTCAGAATTTGCAATAAATAATAAATCCAGATGACAAAAAAAAAAAAAAGTGATGTAAATATCGGAAATGTTGATACTACAATTTCTTCTATTTCTTTTTTTCATATAATGAAAATTATTTTTTAGGGATATTTAATATTTTCTTAAAACCTCTAAACAAAACAAAGGGTTTCAAAAGATAGAAAGTTATTATTGGTTTAAGAAATTGAGCTGTATTATTTAAAATGTTTTGATTTAATAAATGAGTATGTATAAGAAAAATAAACTCATTTAAACCCATTTAAGGGAAAATATTAAATGGAGTTAAATGGGTTACCCCAATTAAACCTATTTATTAAATGGGATATCTCACAAATAAATAGGTACCCATTTAAAAATATTTATATTAGTTATTTTTATTAAAAAATGTTAATCCCTTAATAACTAAAATAAAAGAGCAATATATTAAATACATTAAAACTAAATTATTTTACTTAAATTCAAATTTTGACTTAAATTTTTTTTTTTAAATATGTAAAACTGCGTGGATCTGGTATAAATTTTTTTAGATTCATGGAGATATAGATTGAGAAATATATTTTTATGGACATCTAGCACGAAGTCATAGATTAGTGTGGATCTGGTATGATGTAAATACTTCTTATGGGGAAATGGATCGTTTTAAAATGATATATTTAGAAATCTATCCCATAATAGATAGTCAACTTTCATTTAGATAATTAATCAACATATAAAATAAAATAAAAACAATCTACGTAAAATTGGAGAGTTAATTTCACTGCAAGAAATCAAACTGTTACCATTGAAAATTTATGATGGAAATGTTTTTCATCGTAGACTTACGTTCATTTTATAAGGTATTTACAACCATTATAAGATACAATGGTAAGTCGTCGTAAATTTGAGATGAAATATTTCAACGTAAATTCGTCGTAAGTTACTGTAGAATTAAAGACGAATATACTACTTCAATTTTCTTCATTGTAAAGTTGACAAAAATGGACGAAGAATATACGAGGTTTCATTTTTGATGGAAAATAACGACTATATAACGAAGAAAAATAAGTTGAGTAACACGGTGGATTTAAAGCTAATATGTTTTAAAATGATTCATAGGAGTTTGTAGTAATCGACGATGAACTTGATTAGTTAGATGACTATTAAGAAAAATAGGTTGAGTCAACACGGTTTATACTTTATATTGAAATGTATGTTATTTATATGGATATTAAGAATAAAATTCAAGTACGATTTAATTAGTCTTAGAACGGGGTCTTTTAGTAACACACAAGTAGTCATATCCATGGCTGAAGAAGAGAGTTTAACTATATCTTCAGAATTTTAAAAATCTAATGTAAGTGACCATGAATTTTTTTACAATATACATATAAGGGTTATATTCCGTATTATTTTTGATTTTGTAGGATTATTTGGAGGTGAATGGTAAAGTTGCAAAAATTAGTGAGTTGGAGATTTTTTTTGCACAAAACAAATTATAGGAAACATGAGAGTAACTTCTTTTTTTTTTTGGTAAATGAGAGTAACTTCTTTTTTTTTTTTTTTTTTTGGTAAATGAGAGTAACTTCTTTTTCATCTTTAAACAAGTATGTAACGTTTAAACTTATTCTTTAAATGATTATTCATTCAAAAAAATTGTTTTCCATAATAATATAAGGTAGAAAATATAATAACAATAAAAATATAGCTAAAAAAGGAACAAATTATTCACATTTTACAATTGTCCAGAGTCCACACTAATTTACACTGAGATTTATTTTACTTTGACCATTTTTTAATTTATTGCATTAATAGACGAGTATCTAATGGCAATAAAGATTCACATATACTAATTAATAGTAACCGAAAAAAGAAAAAAAAAAGAAAAAAAATTATAATATCATTCAATTCATGTAGTTTGTATAAAAACCAATAGATTTAGAGAGATTTCAGTTGAGTTCTTGATTTTTGGTTGAGAAATATTTTTTCGGGGACATCTAACACGGGGTCATAGATTAGTGTGGATCTGGTATGATGTAAATACTTCTTATGGGGAAATAGATCGTTTTAAAATGATATATTTAGAAATCTATCCCATAATAGATAGTCAACTTTCATTTAGATAATTAATCAACATATAAAATAAAATAAAAACAATCTACGTAAAATTGGAGAGTTAATTTCACTGCAAGAAATCAAACTGTTACTATTGA